GCTCAAGAAAACATTTATGATTATTATCAGTGTTGAAAACAGTTCATATCTTTGTGGAAACCATGATAAATTCTGTATTTCGGGATTCTTTGATGAATTGAAAGTCTTCAGTGTCACATGATCCTTCAGAAATCACTCTAATATGAGGATTTGCTCAATTATTGTTGGCGCTTGTTATTAATAATTGTTCTTTATATATATATATACACACACCTTATTTCAGGATCGTTTCATTAATAAAAAGTTCAAAAGAACAGCATTTATTTGTCATAGAAATCTTTTTTACATTATAAATGGCTTAAATTTTGATGTGTCCTTTGCTGAATAAAAGTATTTAGCTCTTATGAATTACAGAATGAGTTCAAGGTTACAAAATTGACATTATCCGGTATATAAACGTTTATTTATGTAATTCGGGAACAGTTGTTGTCAAACCCCTTTCCGAAAAACGTTCAAATCTATATTAAACTATTAAGCAGAAGTTGCACGACGTCTTGCTGGTCTCTTTAGCACACAGTGATGATGATGATGATGATGAGAACTCTTCCTCACCTTCACGTCGATGGATGAGCGCCTGTGGCAGTGGTTGGACACTCCAGCCGTCTGATTCATGTCTTCCTCTTATTCTTCTGTTTTCCAGCGGTGAATCTCAGTGAAGTGGATCCTGATGAAGACGATCCGAGTGTGTGTTATCCCAGCGCTCCGAGTGTGTGTGTTATCCCAGCTCTGCTCCAGCTGCGCGTCACTGATGCTCCAGATGCAGAAACATCTGTCTGTCGGAGCGCAAACCACCAGAAACATCACTCTGCTGGATTATGACAATGCGCTCGATGATTTACACAAGTAGGACACGGGCCAACTAACAATCACCAACTGTAAAAAATGATTTTTGATGCTTTTTAAATGTACTTAATTCAAACGAGTTAAAGCAACACATTTTGTTACTACTTAATTTAATTGTGACCAATCTACAGTAGTCCGGAGGGGATATTTATTAATAGCGGGGAAATTATTCAGACACCAGATATAATTTTTTTTAATATATTTTGCTACTAGTGTGTGCAGGACAAGTTCATTTATGTAAGTGAGGAGAGCTAAATAAAGTAAACTGTGACATTATACCCAAAACTTCTTCATACAGCGACTACCAGTAACATTTATTAAAATATGAGAGCAAATATTATTCAGACACTTTGAGCTGATTATGTTTTGCTGAAGTGTGTTTTCTGTAATTGCTAATGCTCTTTTTACACACAGACTGAACAACATGAAGCATTGCTTGGTCACTGGTTGAGCTAAACTGGTATTATCTAATTGTGGAGTTAAATTTAACAGCTGACAGATATTCAACAGAGTTCTGCTCATATTTTATTACCATTTTAATACCAGAGATAATGTGTGAAGGTGTCTGAATATATTTTGGTTTGACTGTGTATTCACCGCTGAAAGTTATTAAAGCACCATTTCTATGATATCGCAATGTCCAATTTCAAAACAGTTTTCACAGAATTGAGTTTTTAAGCTTTTGAATGACACCTAATTAATGATGATTAGAAAAATATGTGATGGGAAAAAAAGGCAATAGAAAAGAGCCACTAGTGGGACATTGAATTTCATCCTCTATTTATTGGTTTATTTTAAGATCCAACACAGACGATTTGGCTCTTAAGCATCTGAGGTGTAAAGCTGCCAGTTTCTGTGTTTAGATGATCATCAGTCGGGCTTCGGCTCAGCTCTTCAGCGCAGAGAAATATGATTTAAGGATAAATGGTTTATATAAATGAATACTTTAATATTTAGGGGTTCAAGCACAAAGTGCTGAAACCCTGTTGTAATTGTAAGGATTTGTAAAACTGATCGTGCAGACCAAACCGTAAGTGCTGGAGACTTGAAACCTGGGCAGATGCAGGCCTCAATTTGGGGGGAACCTATCAGAGTATGACCCTGATTGGCCCATAGGTGGCGCTACAGCAACCAAAAGTAAGAAATGCGCGTAACTTATAGACCGTTTGACTTAGACTCGAGGTTTTTACATCACTGTGATCCTTGGCTCAAGCAGGACAAAATGTACATCTCTGAATATTTCGATTTAGGCAGCAAAACATTTCTGCTATGTCGAATTTTGTCCAAAACCTACTTTTGCGAACTAGTCCCTGGTTTTTCGCCCGATCGGAACCAAACCAGTCTAGGGCAATTCTCTGGACTCTCTAGATCAATAATTATCAAAAAAAGCTTAACTTTACCCTTTGTTAGACTTGTAGTCAAGACCGCCTAAACCGAGACCAAGACACTACCAAGACCAGAGGGTATCGAGACCAAGACAGACCAAGTCGAGACCGAGACCGGAGGGGGGAAAAAAACAGACTAGTGTTGTTGAAGCTAAGCAATAACTTTTGTTTTTGTTTTGCATTGCCTGCCTATCTCTGCCGATTTCGAAGTCTCCAAATGAATACATTCTGCAACTTTTAAATACATAATTATATTTTTAAAAACGAAATTATAAGCTAAAGTCCAGGATCCGAAAGTTGGTTGTTTTGTCGCTATGGTTACACACACACACACACACACACACACACCGTTGGCGGTGCGCTCAAAGTCATCTGTCAGTTGTGCAGTTACCCAAAATATCCTGAATGAAGTTAAAACCCATCATGTCACTGATATGTGTTTTACTAAATATTAATACATCAAAAACTGTACATTATGTGTTTTTTAAATCAAGTTATCAAAGTGCTCGTTGCCGCTGCGATCAGTGGCGCAGATACGGCTCGCGCACCGCATTGTCTTCACTCGGACGCGCGCTTCAATCCGTTGCGGATATCGTCGTGGATATTGATAATGCTAAATCGCCCGACCACTATGTCGGTCTGAGACAGCGAGACCTAGACAAGACCGAGAGGTCCGAGACCAAGACCAAAGACCGTCAAGGCCGTGACAGGACCGAGACCACGTAAAAGTGGTCTCGAGACATACATCACTACCCTTTGTAGCTGTAACAGAATCATTTAGAAAATGGGTATGGCAAAAAAAAAAAAAACACTCAAAAGACTATAAATCCTAAATGAAAACTCACTAAATTGCCTTATGGCCTTAACCCCGCTAAATGCTGCTTGCAGCTTTAATACATGTAATTATTGCATTTGATGCATTGAAGTGATCTCATGACAGTTCAGGGGGTTTTCCACTATAGGTCACATCTAGAACAGCTTAACCCGCAGTAAATGAGCCGTGTCACTGTAACACTGGCCCTCGCATAGCTAGACGAGATAACCTTTCTTAAAACAGGAAGTTCTTGCTCAGCTTGTGGCTTGTGTGTCCATGGGGTTTTCATCTTGCTTCGTTTCCACGTAAAGTTCATTCACCTAAACTTCTCTAACAATGAATGCAAATAATACAGTAATGGCCAGAAGTGATGTCCGGAGGGGATGTGTGTTTATGAGGGAAGAACAAACACTGAACGCTAAACTGCAGATACACGTTTTATTTTATAATGCAAAAATAAAAATAAATGCATATAAAAGTTATAAATTATATTCTATAGTTATATTCTCTCTTGTTTTTTTGCATGTGCTCCTCATCTCTTTGTATGACAGCCTGGATAAACATAAGCACACTTTGTCATCTTTCATTGCGCATGACTCCAACCACAGCTACATCATGCTTTTAACATATTTATGAAAAAATATGGTAACATTTTAGTTTAGGGTCCAATTCTCACTATTAACAAGTTGATTATTAGCATGCATATTGCTAAGATATTGGCTGTTTATTAGTATTTATAAAGCACATATTAATGTCTTATATTCTGCATGATTATATAATACCTAAACTTAACAACTACAATAATGACTATTAATAAGCACTAGCAGTAATTAGGAGTTTATTGAATCAAAAGTTGTAGTTAATAGTTAGAATTGGACTCTAAACTAAAGTGTGACCAATTTTTTTTTTACATTTTTACAACATCTGGAAACATTCTAAAGTCATTCAAATCAAACCATTTTAAAATGCTGGGTTGTTTTAACCCAATTTTGGGTCAAATATGGACAAACCCAAAGGTGTGGTTAAAAATGTAATTACAATTTTTTTACGGCTAGGTTTGTCCATATTTGACCCACATTTAACTCATTTTTTAGAGTGGTTAAGATGTTAGTTGAAGAGTCCGGTCTAAAAAATGAGTTAAATGTGGGTCAAATATGGACAAACCTAGTCGTAAAAAAAATTGTAATTACATTTTTAACCACACCTTTGGGTTTGTCCATATTTGACCCAAAATTGGGTTAAAACAACCCAGCATTTGTGTGAATTAGACCTGCTTTATCATCTGAAAAAATGTTGCACTAAGAGCATCAATAAGCAAAGTAACAACACATCTCTCACCAACAAAACATGATTTAACACATTCCTCAGATGTTTCACGACAAATTATGATCAATAACAATAGAGATGTTTGTCTCAACAAGCAATAACCACTGGAATCTATATGTTTATTTGAGGGATTTTGTGAACTTGAAGCCGCATTGAATGCAAGGACGCTTTTAGAAAAAAGCCACATGCATAAATGTTTATGTAATAAAAATGTTTTATGTACTTTTAACCCGTGAAAACTAGTTTAATCTCTTCTTATAATATCCTGTTTTCAAAAGTTGAACATCAGGAAAGAGAGATAAAGTGAAGATTACTTGATAAAAGAGTTGAGTAAATGACATCCTCTTTTATCAAGCTCACACCAGATGAAAATAATAACTGAAATAACTTCAGCCATCAGCTTCAGCACTTATTACATTATTACAGGCTGGAACCGATTACACATCCAGACATAAAGGTACAGTACCTCACTTTTGTTTCTTTATGTAGAGTGGTAATGACACTGCTGCTGCTCTCAGTGCATATCAGTTATATAGTGTTGCATTAATATGAAGTGAAACTAGCCTTTCATATGATATGCTTTACAGGGATGATGATGATGATGATGATGATGATGATGATGATGATGATGATGATGATGATGATGATGATGATGATTTTGCTCCTGACGGAATCTGTCTTGGTCTCTTATCAATCCAACTCCACAGGTAACTTAGAAAATACATCACTTAAAAAAAAAAAAGAAGATATTTGGGTTGTTGACAAATGGACAGATTTTAAGTTTTTATTTATTTGCACATTTCTTTAAAAATAGATAATTTTTTGACAGTTGGACATGCAGATTTAAGATTGATTGATTGTTTTTTATTTATTTATGAAATTGCACATTTCTTTAAAAATAGATATTTGGGTTGTTGTCATATTGACAGATTTTAAGTAATTTATTTATTTCTATTATTTTTAGTTATTTGCACATTTCTTTGAAAATAATAGATTTTTGGTTTAATTTTTTAGGTTAAATAGAAATGCTGAGATGCTTTTGATTTTGTGGAAGAAAAAAACTGGTTGACATTCATTTATGTGCGCATTTATTTATTTGCACTTAAAAAATAATTTGGGTTGTTGACATGGCTAGATTTTAATTAATTTATTTAAAAATATATTTGGGATTTTTGACAAATGGTCACATTTTAAGTTATTTATTTGCACATTTCTTTAAAAATAGATAATTTTTGACAATTGGACATGCAGATTTAAGATTGCTTGATTGGTTTTTATTTATTTATGAATTTGCACATTTCTTTAAAAATAGATACTTGGGTTGTTGTCAAATTGACAGATTTTAAGTTATTTATTTTTATTAATTTATTTATTCGCACATTTCTTTGAAAATAATAGATTTTTGGTTGTTTCATTTTTTTAGGTTAAATCCTGAGATGCTTTTGATTTTGTGGAAAAAAACTGGTTGACATTAATTTATGTGCATTTATTTATTTATTTGCACTTTAAAAAATGATTTGGGTTGTTGACAAATGGTCACATTTTAAGTTGTTTATTTATTTGCACATTTCTTTAAAAATAGATATGATTTGGGTTGATTTTAAGTTATTTATTTATTTATATTTATTTATTTGCACATTTGTTTAAAAAGTTATTGGGGTCGTTGACAAGTGGACAGATTTTGGAATAAATGCCAAGCTGAGATGCTTTCTGGTTAATTGGCAAAGAAAACAGATTTTGTCCAAAATAAACTGATTGATCTATATTTGTTTGTTTGTTTGAAGGGGATATTTGACTAAATATATGCATTCAGACAATTAACCCTAACCTCAACCGGGTTAAAAGGAGATACTTTAAACTCTTTAACCAATAAACTTTTTTTTATTAGTTGAATGCATATATTGTCTGAATGCATATATTTAGTCAAATATCCCCTTCAAACAAACAAACCAATATAGATCAATCAGTTTATTAACCCTAACCTCAACCGGGTTAAAAGGAGATACTTTAAACTCTTTAACCAATACACTTTTTTTTATTAGTTCAGTGTGAACTAATGGGCAATAGGAAATCAGTGAGAGTGAGAGCTGGAGAATCCCTGTATTTCCCCTGCCCGAATGCAGTCTGCTATGAAGACACTGAAGGCACCTCGTACGATTGGTTGAAAAACCTCAGCAGAACGAATCAGATTGAGCGGATCGGGACGGAGGAGAGTGAGCGTGTGCATTACCACCAGTCTGCATTATACATACTTTGGTTGACCCCGGACGACACGGGACGCTACATCACACGCTGGTGATCACACACACACACACACACACACACACTTCACTCACCTGTCAATGCACCTGCTCTAAAGCAATATTCAAACTTTATTCACATGCATGTTGTTCCAAAACTGTATGGCATTATTAAATGCAGCATGTACAGCTTTCCATTCTGTGAAAAAATCATACAGTATCATAACAGTATATGCATATGACTCAAGCACCACATACCAAGTCATATGACAGCCGAAAGTATATTAATATTAATATTTTGTGTTTGCCAGAGGAAAAAAGTCATGCATTTGGAACAGCATGACGGTGAATATATCATGACAGGATTTAAATGTTTCAGTGAATCGTGACTTTAAATGAATGTTTTATCAATATTTAAAATGCACTACTGTTCAAACTAATTTTTTTAATGTTTTTGAAAGAGTCTCTTCTGCTCACCAAGACTACGTTTATTTGATCAAAAATATAAAAATGGTGAAATATTATTACAGGTTAAAGTAACTGTTATGTTAAAATTAGGGGTGGTTAATCTGTCTGATTTCCCGATTCGATTCGATTACGATTATTGAAGTCCCGATTCGATTACAGTCGATTTTCGATTATTAACGATTCTCGATTAGCGATTATTGATTTTCCATTTCACAACAGTAAACGAAAATACACTACAAAGTGTTTGCAGTATTAAAAAAAGTCAGCTGCTGAATTACTTAACTCTTTTATTGAGTAACAACAACTCAAAGCACTTTCTGTGTCGTGTAGTTATAACTTCAGAATTATTTGTATGTAGCTTATGTTCTGTAGAACACAGAAATGAATACATCACATTGTGTTGTGACTCATCAAGTTGAACTAAACAATAACAAATAAATGAAAGGCTTATTTCCTTTAGGAAGTAGATCAGAACCAACATTCTGTAGAAATTGGACAATTTTCTTCTAGAAAGACAAGGTGTTGTAGCAAGCAACGCTCGTTAGGCCGGAGACACACTGGCTGCGTGGCGTGAGCGTGGCGTTTCTGTTGCGTGTCAGCTGCGTCGCGTTTTCTGTGTCTTTGCACACCAGAAACGTGTCTGACGCGGCCCCGCTGCTGCTAGGTGACATAGAGGGACAGTCTACATTTGGGTTAGCGGTGTGTTAATCCTTACTACAACAATTTCAACTCTTGCCTCTTGCCTTTACGACAACAATTTCAACTGTTATCACACATCTTCCAAAATCCGAAAAATAGGGAAGTGGGCTGTCTGTTTATTTCAATAACATTTACAAATTTTGTGTAGCTTTAAAGAGCCTATATTTAGCCTGATGGTGGACCGTCACTCAGAAGACACACTATGTTGTTATTGTAGCCTATTATCTTTATATCCTCCTGAGGCCCAGAACGTTTTTTTCAAAAGTTTTTTTTCTTCTTCATGTAATCACATTGTTAAGAGCATAAGAAACAAATGAAAAAAAAGAGATATTTTATTCATATGTTATGCTATGACCTCTGTAGTGAACACCAGGACTCGATTGTTTAAAAAATAAAAATGACATAAATTTGTATATAGGCAAAAATAATGGCAATATTTGAAAATCGATAATTATTATTATTATTTGTTTAAATTACATTGATATCTGAATTTATATCAAAACCTAGACTTTCAAACATCAAAATGTAATTTATTAATATGTATTCGTGTACAAAATGACATATAAACATCGTTTCCTATTCTATTTTGCCTGGAAACGCTTCCAACACGCTTGCGTGTCGCGTGAAAAATAGGCGTCGGTTCTATTTCTATTATGCACGCGTTTTCCGCGCGGCTCATGCAGGCAGTGTGCAAGCTCTAACCTGTTAACATGGGAGCTATGGCGTTCCGATAGGCTCAAATATGTAACTTTGTAGCACGCACTCGTCTCAATGAACGTGACGTCTGCGTCTGCCGAACGTGACGTCTGCGTCTGCAGAACGTCTCGTCTGCGTCTGCCACATCACTCGTTCGTGTGCCGAACGTGACGTCTGCGTCTGCAGAACGTCACGTCTGCGTCAAGGGGGTTTCCATGGCTGCGTTTCCCAAAAGCATTGTAAGCATCGTTGATCGTAAAAACGATCGTACGACTGATCTTAATATTATGGTCTGTTTCCCAAAAGCATCGTAACTTAAGTAGCACTTGAAAATCTTCGTAGAACTGCGAGTGCTCTGCTAATTGTAAATCCCCAAGTTCATCGAGACAGAGTTATGAGATCACCTGCAGGAGGACAACCGGCAGATTACACTTTTATCTAGATTTAACAGACTACACTACGTGAGTATAATATAAGGTTTTGATTGTACTTTATTGTACACTTTGTTGTACTCGTGTTTTGTTTAAATGAATAGGACATAATTAAAAAGAGAAGAAAAATAGAAATACACATCTAAATTAAACGAATGAACAAAAAAAATCATAAAATAAGAAATCTGGGAAATATGCTTTAAAGACTGGGCAAAATAGGGATGAATTCAAAAAATTCTGTCAACGACTTGCTGACGTGCACGAAAACCAGCCATGTATTGGGCATTTCTTGCGGACCTCCTTCCCTGATCTTTGAACACGGTTGCAGTTAGTTTGCAATGTCCTCCCAGATGTTTTGTTTTTCCTTATTTGTATGGTGTCCTTTAAATCTGTTAAAAATAAAATCTTTGTTTCCCTCTATATATCTTCTCTAAAAGGACATTAATTTTATCTTTTTGAAAGGTATCTTCTCTTGTTTTTTTGTTTTTGTTCAGCCATTTTGTCAGCCTGTAGGCCCTATAGGTGCTTTATATCTATATAGACTTGTCTTGATTTAATCCACAACAAATGACGATTATTAGGTTAAACGTTCAGAATACGATTCCATATAAGGTTATATTTCAGCACTTCGCGAATGGACAGCGACGCTTAAGTAGCACGTAGAACGCGTTCTCGCGCTTTCATGTTAAGTGCATTTTTGGGAAACGCGCGTGGAATTGCGGCGAGCGTTCGTAACCTTGCACGTAAAGAGCGCTCTTAAGAGGTAAGATCATACATCGTTATCGGGAAACCCGGCCCAGCACATTCCACACACTTATTCGTTCTTTATTATTTTCCCCCACTGATCTTCAATTCTATTTTATTAGCAATGAAGTGCACATTACCTTGCTTATACATAGCTTTTTATAATATACTTAGTAAATATTAATTTACACAAATTATCATGTTAAAATTTGTGTTTGCCATATTTTCTTGTCGACATGTCCACATATAGCCTACTTAATCATAAAAAGATTAACCATAAAAACTAAAAAGCATGTAGGCCTATATACTATTCACCACTAGGAGTCTCGTGACCAACACAAAATAACTTAGCCTAGTTGTAAACATTTGGGCTGATTTAACGAACAAAATAAAATGTGTTATTTGTAATGTTTAACTTTAAAGTTGTAATATTTGGTTTTTAGAGTTTCACCGAAGTTTGATTGACGCCTACTTTTGCCGTGCTTTGCAGCAAGATTTCTGCGTGCGCTTGACCATGGATGCACTTAATAAGAAAAATCTTTAGTCTATGGCTACTCTAATCAATACATTTATTTTACATTATTTACTTATTTATTGGATATTAGTAATTAGTGTCCAGTTATTTGCATTACATTAGTTGAGTTAACATACAGCTAATTAGTAAATGAACGAATAAAATAATAAAATAAAGATTACATTAAGATGCTATGCTAACCACATATTTCTAGCATTGCTTGTTCCTACACGAAAAGGATTGTATTGTATCTTCTGTTATAAAGATGATTGATATTTCGTTAATTAAAAATAATAAGCGAAAAATATATAGTAAAAATATTAAATGTAATGTTCTTTATGCGTTTTGACTAGGCTACTTTTTGTATTTTGTATAATTATATCTCTATGTAATGAAGATAGCCTATTAACAAAAAATATTATTAATATTATTATTATATATATAGGCTAATATAAAACTTTTGTATTCAATTATAGGCTATAGAACATTTGGAATAAAAATACGCTGAAAACCCAAACAATAGCATGTGACAAACGAAACACGTCTTGTTTATTATGCTGCTGCTACAAAAACTGAATAGGCCAAATAAATAAATAAATAAATAAACAAACAAACGACGTCCTATAGGACATAGCCTAAACTGTTTTGTGTTCATAGCCTTGAGTTTGCAGATTGTAGTAGCCTATTATTCAGGATATCCGACATTATGTTTTTGTAACCATTTTAGTAGCCTATAGCCTAATAGTTTTATATAGGCCTATTTATAAAAAATATTATTTTTTAATTCTATTCTTCTATTTAAAGGATCTACAGAAACAGTGGTTGTGCGATCGAGTTGTCTGTTTTCTAGTTTACCAAAGTGCTGGCTTTTTTAAATTATAAAAAAAAAATAAAAAAATCCTATATATAAATCACAGACGCAGACGTGACGTTATAAGACAGACGCAAGTGTCACGTTCATTGAGACGAGTGCATGTTGCAAAGTCATATTAAAGAACCGATCGCAACCGCTGGCACACTGCACTGAGCTGTGCTGAGTAGAGTGTTAAACCCGTGTTAGAGAAAAAAACAATTTATAACTTCACTGCTACACGTGAATGACACGTAAACGTCTGACAATACACTTCACTGCCACACGTGATTTACGTGACGTCTGCGTCACGTCTGCGTGACGTCTGCGTCACGTCTGCGTCTTAAATTGAATGGAATAAATAGCCGAATAAAAAAAAATTTAAGACGTTGAGTGAGACGTTCATTGTAACGAGTGCATGTTGCAAAGTTATATTAAAGAGCCGATCGGAACGCCATAGGGAGCCGAAATAAAAACGGACACACCACGCAGCTGAGACGCCGCCACGCAGCCAGTGTCTCCGGCACACCTGCTCTCACTCGCTCTGGCTGCCGTTACACGCGCTTGCTAACTGGAACTGGGCGCGTTCGTGACGTTCAACTTCCGGTATAACATTTTTTACAAAATAAAAGAATGCAATTTTTTTTTTATATATATAATAAAAAATCGATTTTTGAAAATGTAATAATCGATTCATACTCGTCCATAACATACTCGTGATTAATCAATAATCGATTTTTTTCACCACCCCTAGTTAAAATGTAATTTATGTGATCAAAGCTGAATTTTCAGCATCATTACTCCAGTCTTCAGTGTCACATGATCCTTCAGAAATCACTCTAATATGACGATTTAATGCTCATAAATAACATTTCTGATTATTATCAATGTTGAAAACAGTTCATATCTTTGTGGAAACCACGATATATTCTATATTCCGGGATTGAAGGTTCAAAAGAACAGGATTTATTTGAAATATAGATCTTTTGTAACGTTATAAATGTCTTTACTGTCACTTTTGATCAATTTAATGTGTCCTTGCTGAATAAAAGTATAATATTTTTCTTAGAAAAAACAACTATAAGTGCTTTCAGTAAAATACAAGCTTCAAGTTTGTGTTTTTAAACCTTATGACACCGAGCATGAAGAGAAGAAATATCTTTCTGTAGTAATCATGTGTGTTGTCCTGTAGGTGGTATGAAAAGGACAAATGTGATGAATATGAAACTGATATTGTGGTTTATGAGGAGTTCCACACAGATCTCTTGTACTTCACCCCGCCAGAAGAAAAGGCGTCAGCAATCTATTGTCCAGTGTGTGAAAAACAGCAGGCCGCGTTCATCTGGTATAAGGTGTGTTGAGTTTGATGTTTGTGGTCAATTTGACGGCATGTTTGCAATGTATGAGTCAGCTAAAGTGAGGGTTTACGCATGACGAATATCCTGTTTTTCACTTAAAAATGTTTCATATTTTGGAAATATAACCAAACGGTGAATTCAGCTGTTCACTCGTATTGCTAATAATTTACTATGATAACACTGAATGAAATTAGACGATAATAGAAAACTCGGTAACACTTTACTTGAAGGGGTGTGCATAAGACTGACATGAGACTTTCATAATAATGACACGTCATGAATATGAAGGTTTTATGCATGTTTATGACAACTGACATTAAGTGTCATTCGCTCAATTATGACATTTTTAATGCAAATATGACATTGTTTGAGATGTCTTTGTAATGACAACTTGACATTACGAAGACAACACAACCTGTCATAAATATGTCATAAACATGACATAGCAGATTAATTTTCAAACTTAAAAAACCACTCAGCTTTATGGGTTAACATTGCATTAAACTGTCATGTGGTTGGTTTTGACATTGGCTGTCATAAGGCCATTATAACTGTCATGAATATTTTTCTTGACCTCAACTACTGTGGTACAAATTGAATTTGTCATTAAAATGTTATAATGCCTCATGACAGCCAATGTCAAAACCAACCACATGGCAGTTTAATGTAATGTTAACCCATAAAGCTAATTGGTTTCTTAAGTTTGATAATTAATCTGCTATGTCATGTTTATGACATATTTATGACAGGTTGCGTTGTCTTAGTAATGTCAAGTTGTCATGACAAAGACACTGACAGGTTATGATGTATTGGTTTATGTCAAGTTGTCATAACAAAGACATCTCAAACAATGTCATATTTGCATTAAAAATGTCATAATTGATCGAATGACGCTTAATGACAGTTGTCATAAACATGCTCATGTCATGATTATGAAGGTGTCATGTCAGTCTTATGCACACCCCTTCAAGTAAAGTGTTACCGAAAACTCTAATACAAAGAAAAAAAAACAATACAAAAATATAAATTTTCACTATAGGCTATTTTTAATCTGTTCACATACTTGTTCTCCGAGGTCCACTCATAATATTTGTAAGATTTGTACATGAAAAACAGTAATAATTTAGACATAAATCTGCTGTTTTTGAAAGCTCAGTTTAAAGGGGCGTGTCTCCTTTAAGACGTCATCATAAACACCCACTGTTCTGATTGGGCGACATCTTCGCATATGAAATGAGAATTATACATGTGCTACTTTTGAAATTATAATTACAGTTGCTGCAATTTAACTGATCGTGGAAAGTGGATAACACTTGTTTACATCTATTCATGAATGCGATAGCCTATTATTGTCTCAATCTTTTCTCTTTGGCAGAATTTCTCTCTTATTCCAAACCAAGAGTCTAAAAATGTTTTACGTATCCGTAACTCTTCGAAAGAAAGCAAGGGTATTTACACCTGCGTTTGCACCTGGGAGCACAACGGGTTAAAACACAACACCTCTGGACATCGCAGACTGATCATTAAAGGTATATATATTCCTCATTCGGCCGTGTCCGGTCCTGTACTCTGAGCTAGAAGTTATTTCTAACACACTAACTCTTGTTCATAGATCAGTCCGCCAACAATCCTCCAGTGTTTCAACTTCCCGTCAACAACTCCATCGTCATCACTGATGTGGGTGAGGAATGGGTTAAATCTCTTACCATCATAAATCACACTATAAAAACATCGGATTAAAACCGTAAACCTTTAACATGAATACTTCTCACATATTAAAAAAGGATGACACTTTTCGATATGGTTTCATTAATTAGTTAATATGAACAATGCTTCTATAGCATTTATTCAATTTGGTTGATGTTCATTTCAACATTTACTAATGCACTTATGCATTAACAAACAATTAACGTGTATTTTTATTAAATAACATTGATAAAGATTATAAAATGTTGTTGAAAATATATTGCAGACTGTTAGTTTATGTTAGTTAATAAATTAACTAATGTTAATAAAAGAGACCTTATTGTAAAGTGTTACCAAAAAGGTAAACATGGTTATGATTTTTAAAACTATTTTATTAAACATATTTTTTCCTCAAAATGTGAATATTTTAAACAGTATTTTAAATATTTAAATATAAAACCCTCAGGTTTTCATTCTGGGTTTTTTCTTATTTATTTGGAATTACCTTTGTTTTTATATTTTTTGTTTTCATGTTAATTTTACTATTGTAAAATGACAAAAGCACATAAGGAAATGACAAAAAAAAAAAAGTTTTGTTTTTAAAAAATATTAGTATTTAGGTTCAATTAATTTTTATTTCAATTTTAGTTTTTATTGATTTCCTGTTAATAATTTTAGTGCTTCAACTTCAACTTATTTCAGTTTATTGCCAAGGCAACATTTCTAAATTGCATTAAGTAAAATAAAATTTGTATTAATTGACCCGCAAAACATCACAATTGCACTAGAAATTTCCCTAATTGAGTATTTCATTTTAAAAAAACACAGTTTTCCCGACAATTCAAATATGTTTTGCGGTTTAAGGAGTCAAATCATTTATTATTATTTAATTTCCCACCTCAAGGTCTTTTTTTTTTTTGTATTTATTTATTTATTTTACTTTCTCATTCTATATTAATTTTTTTTTTTTTTTACAATAACACAACAGTGGTACTGGTATTTCATAACAGCTTGTACAGCCAAATATTATCTTACAGTCTTTGGATATGCATGTTCATTTATATGCATATAAAATGATAACAAAAATAGAAATAATAGTTATAATACAACACGGCATATCTGAGTCAAATAAAAAAACAGAGACATTTTATAGACCAAAAAAAAAAAGAGATATATCAGTCACTGAGCATCTGCAAAAAGTTCTCGAGGTCCTTTTATAATGTTGGTGTGTTTTTATGCACCCAAAAGTTACAGCATGTTTTCATAGTAATGAACTGGAAAGATTTAATGTCAATGTAAAATCTAAAAGCTCTGATTGCTCTTGTTTCTCAGGCACAGAACTGATCCTCGTATGTTCTGTCGTCTTCGTGTGTGATGGGTGTCCTGTTCGCTGGGAAAGGAATGAAACCACACTGAGTGAGGAGGATGGATATAAGCAGGAAAACAGGTTGATATCTCCTACAAACTACTTATAATTAAAGGGGTCATGACATTGATTTTAATATGTTCCTTGAGGTTCACTTAAAGATTTTTGCATATATATATATATATGTGGGAAAACAATTATTTTCTACCTTCATTCTGAGCCTCTGTCTGAAATGATCAGTTTTTAAGGCGCGGCTCCTTTAAGGCTGTCAGTAAACGCCCACTGTTATGATTGGCTAACATCACTGCATAGGAAACAGTATCAATGAACACTCACTATTGCATGCGAGTAAGTATTTTGAAAACATTATCCATATAAAACCGCCATTTACAGACAAAACATTATGAAATCATTTGCTTCATCTGTCAACAAAGGTTTCTTGCGAACTCTCCATTACACTGTGCCTCATTTACAAAACAATCCACAGTCAAATGCTCCGAACAAACATATAATCATTCGACATGATCCCGGACGCCATTAAAATAAACCATCCACTTGTTTATAACTCTGGGATCCTTCTTAACCCTTGTGTTATGTTGCGGGTCAATTTGACCCGTTTCGATTTTCAAGTTGTTGGAAATACTGGTTAACCTTTGTATTTTTTCTTGATATTTTGTGACTTTTTCTCATTTATCATGATGAACATGCATGCAAAGTTTCAACATGCTGATGTGTTTTGACATATACAAACAAAATTACTGTTACACTTGTGATGTTCGCGGGTCAATTTGTCCCTCATAGACAGCCATTCAAAAGCAACTGTACAGACACAAAATAAAAACATTTATTTTCTGTATGTCAGGGCACTTCAACTCCAGTTCTAACGTGCAAGTGCATCTAAAAGTGCTCTAACCCTAACCAAACACACTTGAAAAAGATAAAATTACAGTGTTCAGAATTATTAGCAAATTACAGATGAAAATCTTTGTCAGACACAGATAGTCAAATAAGCTCTCATTTCAATATTCAAAATATCTAAAATACCTAGCTTTTAACCAAAAGTTTTATGTAGGATTTTCAAAGGCAGCTTCACAGAGCCAAAAAATAAATAAAAAACATTTATTTGATGTATGTTTTTGTTATGTTTGGTTTCTCACTTTCCAGTGAGTGAATAATGAAACTAGAAAAATAGGTCTTAGGAAACTAGGGAAAGTTAACTTAGGAAAATGAAAAATTTTCATTATACAGCAATTTTTTTTTGTTCAGTTACGATGTTCAAATCATAAAATGTAAAAAAAAAAAAAAAAAGGAAAAAAAAATTATATGCAAAAAAAATCAGTATACTGTTTATTTTCCAATTTTGTCAAAACAAAACTGTTTTAAAAACTGTTTTAAAAACATTTTCATAAATCATATTTTCAGATATAATGTTTTTGTAATGTTTGACAAATGTTGATATTAAAAGTTTACAGTTTGTATCTAAATCTTTGTTGTTTTTCATAGTGTGATTTTTGAGGAATTGTATTGAATCCAATTAGGGTCAATTTGACCCGCTCCATAAGGGGAGTACACAGAAATCGAACAGAACACAAGGGTTAAGTCTGTACAAAGATGCAAACCAGCTCTTTTAAACTGGACGCATCGAAGTAAACTTACACTCCTCCATTTGTCCTGTTGTCGACAGACTCAAGTGTGTGAAGTCCGACAGCAACTGAACACACATCTGTATACTGTATCAGTGTAGACAGCATCAGTGATTATAATTGTTTCTGTTTGCTTTTGACACGACGCTCACTTCCAATTTAGCCAAATGTCGGCCGTTTAGCGACTGAATGCCAGTGGGAGGGGCCTGTAGTACTAGTGGGCGGGGCCTATTGTGCGATCATGTAACACAATGATGATGTCTTGCTCTGGAGGCGGGCATATGCAAATGTATTTGTCCGTTTGACATCACAGATCCCGCATTAGAGACAGAGAGCAACGCGTCATAATCTGAAGGCCACGCCCACCGGGGGGAAACAATCCAACCGTCTCCATTGACTTTGCATTGTGAGAAGCTCCCTCCTTGTCATTTATGACTTATAGCAAAAGACAGAAAAATGCCTAAAAGCTGCTATGTGACAAGGTGTACAGCAAACAAGTTAAAAAACCCAGAAATAAAATTTTATAAGCTTTCGAACCATAAAAGCCAGCCTTTAAGGAGACAAAAGTGTATACAGGCAATAAGACGTGAAGCATCAGCAGGAAGAATGGGTAAATTTTGGGATCCTGACACTCAGTCTACATTAAAAATACTTTCAATGTCATACATTTCTTTTCTTTTTACAACAAACCATCGTTCAAAATAATAGCATTTATCTGACATAGAAAGCTTTTGAACGAATAATTGGCTCAAGCTACAGCTACTTGCACATATAGCTAATATAGCTTTCTAATAGCTAACTTGTCCCATTATGTTAGTAACAGTGTGTGTTTTGATCGTAGCTGAAATTATGCTGTTACCTGGTGATTCGATCAAATAGTTGTAGATATCAGGGTATTTCATGTTGGGCCATTCAGTCGGATCATTTTTCCAAAAAAAGGAAGGTAAGGAAAAGGGGCACTGACATAGACCAATAAAATTTAACTTCTCAATATATCTCCTCCTCTCAGGTTCACAAAGGGTGGTGAAATAAGCAATCGACATGGTTAAAATTATGATATTTTTTTTTACAATATCATGTCACGTTCCAGTGGGCGTAGTTCGAGAAATAGTTGCGCTCTGTCTCAATTGATCCACTTTTATGTCCTGGAACAACTGTTTTTTGGGGGTCGACAGCTTATAAAAATGTAATTTTGGGTTATTTAGCTTGTTTGCTGTACACCTTGTCACATAGCAGCTCTGAGACATTGTTTTGTTTTTGTTATAAGTCATAAATGACAAGGAGGCAGCTTCTCACAATGCAAAGTCAATGGAGACGGTTGGATTGTTTTTCCCCCCGGTGGGGGCGTGGCCTAAATACGCTCTGTCTCTATATCAAAACCAGACGTTTCTGGAGCTTGATTTTAAGGAGGTTTTAAGTTCGGAAAATTGCAGGATGGTTTATATTAATGGTACAAAGACCTCTTACATGTCAAAAGATCAAGGCAAATTTGATTTCTCATGTCATGACCCCTTTAAAAGTAAAGTTGAGCCACATTATCAGAAAAGCATTGGCTTAAAATAATTAGACACATTCACCATAAACGGATATCCTTCTCTACTCTTTAGTTCTTGCTAATTTTCTGATGAAAAAAGGGTAATTGGTGCTTTTTTCCTCCAGAATTAAAGATGGCAGCGTTCAGTTATTTTTGAATATTACTAAAGTTTCTGAGTTGGACCTCCTTTCTGAGTTTCGCTGCACAACTGAAGACTCCTATAGAGTGATGTTTGTATCAATCACTTTGAAAAGTCGAGGTAAGATGCTCTGATCCGATCTATGATGAATATAACTGAACTAAAATGCATTATTTTACCAAATATTTGGGTACTGTGTATTTTTATTCTCTATATTGTAATGCCTCGTCTTGACTTACAATATAGAGCAAAGTTAATACTTGAATAAAATATTGCTAAGATCTCCAATTTAGTAATTAACATTTTTATTTGCATACATTTTATCATTATAATATTTTAAATGCATGAATGTTAATATTAAAATATTTGCTAAAAGTGTTTTTACAGATTTATTCAGCACAAGTCATGAGAAAGTCAAAGCCTTGTTTTGTTGTGCTGTTTTACTCCGGTTTGCGTGTTTCCATGTTGTATTTTAGCTTCAATGCTCGCTGTGATTCTGGCTTGCATTTGCACATTTCTTCTCGTCCTGGTGCTAAGCGTAATAGTGAAGTGGTTTTCATTGGATCTGGTGCTGTTTTTAAGGGAAATTTCCATCAAGTTCAACAGGAAAGAGGGTAAAGAATATATATTTTTTAAATATTTTAATTCATTTTAAATATAATTTTATGAAAAGATATATATATATATATATATGTATTATAATATTCATTAAGTCCAGTTTTTTTCACTAGTAAAGGAGTGGGACTGTGCTAGATATACGACATATATGGGGATAAATACAAAAAAATTTTTATTTATTACTCAGTATTTGTGTCTTGTTTTCCAGTACAAAAATCTAAACATTCTTAAATCAACATACATTTACTTGAGAAGTCAAATGACTTATGATATAAAGTCCTGTTTTCTGAACAAAATCAAGCGAATTTTTGCTGAAAACAAGAAAAAATATCTGCCAATGGGGTCAGAAAAATAATCTTGTTTTCCCTTTGAATTATTTTTTTTTCTGACCCCATTGGCAGATATTTTTTCTTGTTTTAAGAATAAACACTTTAATTTGATAAATTCTTATGTTTAGATGTATAATGTGTGTGTGTGTGTGTGTGTGTGAATACTGTTAACACATATGACTACAATGCAAATGCTCGTTTTGACAGATGGGAAGCTGTATGATGCTTATGTGATTTACCAGAGAAACAACTCGGATGAAACGACAAGCAAAACTGTGAGTGACTTTGTCAATGGATCTCTTCTAACAGTGCTGGAGAGCTACTGTGGCTTTAAACTTTTTATTCACGGCAGAGACGACCTACCTGGGGAAGGTACGCTTGTTGAACTTTTTCTAAACATCTGTCAGTGAACCATTTTTGATACGTTGTGTGATGAACATTGCAAAAACAATTATGTTGTTCCTCAGTATTTCCTGTGCAAATATCTAAACATGCAAATCAAAATGCATGGAAAAGCAAAATGTCTTGTTTTCTAAAAAAAATGTATCAAAATTAAGTGACTTCCAGCTTAAAACAAGAAAAAAAAAATCTGCCTTTAGGGTACGTAAGTAGTTAATTTTTTTGACCCCATTGCCAGCTATTTGATATTGTTTTAGGCATAAAGTTAATTTCATAATTCCCCCCCCTTTTCATAGCCTGGCTAACGTCAGACCACGTCTCATTGAGATTGAGACGTGGTCTGGGAACCACATGTTCATTTTCTCGTATTTGAGGCGTGGTTTACGAATGCCCAGAGCCGTTTATTGGGTGCTACGAATGTCTATCAAATGTGCCTGTACGTAGCTCATAGCCAATCGTTTCAATTATACCAGATGACGTATGTAAATTAGACGAGGAAGAAGACGATGGGTCAGAGATTTATGTGTACACAATGGCGTATGTATCTAAAGCTGCATCGAAAGGTAACTTCGCGTCTGCTGCCATGTTTGATCCATAGGTATAAACAAACTGCTTCGGTGTGTCGCATAGACGTCGTCATCGTCTTGCTGCTCCCTCCCTGTTCTGTGATTGGTCCCCTCGCTGAGGCGAAAATCTGGTCCATGGTATCCAGACTGCCTAGCAGCGTGAATAAAATCGCTCTGCGCAAAGGCAACATGGGGAAACCCAGGCTATCCTTTTCATAAAATAAGACTTACCGGTAATATCTTAAAGTCCCCCTGTAGTCAATAATTTAATCTCTTAAATCTCTTCTTTGATCCCGAAAATTATGTATTTAAAAATTTTTTCCTTGAAAAAAAAATTCTTCATGCCTTAAAATAGCTTGAATGTACTCAACAGTATTTAGTATAATCGGTTCTATGAATATGCAAATGAGCCCCGCCTCCACTCACTCACTCACTCAGCTCAGAGATCCACTGGTTGACGATCACACGTTGATCTGATTGGTTACAAGGTCGTTTGTGACGTCAGAAACACCAGCGATTTCAAACCGTGTTTTTGAGACTGTCTTTGGTTCACTGCAGTTTAAGCAGAAAATACTCAGCAATGCTGTCGACTTATGAATTTACACATGATGTGTCTTAAAGCGTATTAAAAACACCACATAGACATATAAACAACATTAAAAACTTGATTTTCACCACAGTGGAACTTTAAGTAATTTTGCTTCTCAAGTAATCAAAGAATGTTTAGATATTATACTGAGGAACAACATAATATTTTCTGCTGTGTGCAATAGATATACTGGTGCTTTTTGATGCATGTTTCTCAAACGTTCCATGTTCCTTCCTGTGTCTTAACCAGATTGCATGAACCTGATTGAAACTAAGATACAGCTTAGTCGGAGGCTTATCATCATTTTAACACCAGGAACAAGTAGCATATCTCCTGAAGCTTATGATCTGCAAGTGGGGCTCCATCAGGCTCTGGTACAAGGAGAAACCGGTGTGATTCTCATCCAGCTGGGAGAGATGCAAGACTACACACATCTGCCTCTCGGACTGCAACATCTCCTCTGCAAGAATAATCCTTTACTGTGGAGAGACGGCCAATCCTCACCAACCTCGAAGTTCTGGAAGAGAGTGCGATATAGGATGCCTGTTGCCTCATCCCGTCAGAGGAGTTCGGAAAAAAGATCACTCGAATGTCCGAGTTTACCAGTTTAAATCAAGACATGCTTTTTAGGTTCAGGATTCACAAGCATTTTCTTAAGGAAGAAGTTAAAAAAAGTCTTGAGATAAATGTGCGATTCTTGTATATATTATATATTTCTTGATCAAATATATTTTCTTGGGAACGTCTTAGTTCAAGAAGAAAATGACAGGCTTTACAATATTTGGTGAGGACTCATATTTAACTCATTTTTGTAGAATTATTACTGAATTTTTAAATTCAGCAAAAAGTCATGTCAGACATAATCATGACCAATCATTGTTTGCATCATTGATCATTGGTGGCACTTCAGAGAACTCGTGCACATCCCCAGTATTATTTAAAGTTTGGTGTCGGTACTGTGATGCATTTTTATTTTTCTGGATTCTTTGATGAATAGAAATGTCTAAAGAACAGCATTTATTTTAAAACATTTATTTTTTTGTAACATTATAAATGTATTTACTGTCACATTTAATGCTTCCTTGCTGAATAAAAGTATTTTTTAAAAATGTGTGTTGTAATGCTTAATTACAGCAAGTAATTTGAAACAACCCAACAAATTCATTAAACATTTGGGGATTAAGACAATTTGGAGGTTTTGAAGAAGATATTTGCAATGATTTTCAAGAAGATTATTTTCATAAATTTGATTTTGTCATACTAAACATTAAGGGCCCTATTTTAACGATCTAAGCGCATGGTCTAAAGCGCACGGCGCAAGGGCACTTAGGGTGTGTCCGAATCCACTTTTTCTAGTTTAACGACAGGAAAGATGGTCAGTTGTCCATTTGTCCAGTTGTCCGACTTTGAATTGGCTGTCCCAATTCTCTTAATGATTAATGTGTGTGTTTTGGGTGTAACGTGCAATAAACCTCAGGTAAGTCTTGGAGTCAGGTTTTTCGCGAGTACCCTGCTTCCCGGGAATAGGTCAGTGCATCTCACTTTTTGGTTGTAATTCCTTTTGTTCCTTTCAGCACACTTGTTTGCCTGCTCTCTCTTGAATTTACAAGCATCCCCTTTTGTCCATCGTTCCATGTATTCACTATAACTCTGAGAGTTGTTGTCTGAGTTGAGTCCGAAGAGAGCATCAATGGGCAGCCTTGGCGAATGGCCGAAAAGCAGATGGAAAGGTGAAATTTTTAATTTCAATTCAAGTCATTTCAAATCTAGTACAGTTGTAGGCAAAGATTAATTTGTTGAGTGTACCCTTCCAATTCGATTTTTGTCTTTCAGTCAGGGTTTTCAGCATCTGCAGTAATATCCGGTTAAATCTTTCCACCTGGCCATTCCCTTGGGGATGATCTTTGAGCCGGCGACGCCACTGTACTTTCTGAGTTGGGTAAGCAGGTGATTTTCAAATTCTCCCCCTTGGTTGTGAATTCTAGACGAAAACCCAAACTTGAGGACGAAATCATTGAATAAACGGTCAGCCATTGTTTTTGCTGATTTTGAGGTTGTGGCATAGGCCTGTGCAAACCGGGTAAAGTGGTCAACGATTACCAAAATGTATTCATAGCCACCCTTGCATTTATCCAAATAAAGAAAGTAAATTCTTGGGTGGGTCTAACATTAATTCAAATGGGTGGGTCGTTTTGATACTTTTAAGGGGCGCTCTTGTCTCGGTTTTATATGTTTGATGCAGGAGCAGGTTCGCAGGACATAGTTTGACAATGTCTTTCTCCACGTAGGGCCAGAAGAACCGATCCCTGGCTTGTGGTGCGGTCGAGCCCCTGGTGACCCATCTCATCATGCAGTTCCCTTAGAACAGTTGTTTTGAATTAAGTTGAGTTGGTAATACCAGCTTTTTCGTTTGAGATGTTTGGCGGAACAGAAAGCCATGTTCATCCAGCTTCAGCTTATCTTATTCTCGCAGAATAACTTTGGATAGCGAGTTGACCGACCGCAACTGCTGAGGAGGCCTAGATCCTGTTTGTAAGTGTTCAATAATTACTCTAATGTCCTTGTTATCCTTTTGTGCTTGTCTAATTTCTTCTTTTGCAAGGGGTTTGAGGAGTCCATAGGCTACAGCAAGGGACACATCTAGATTACGCTGGATCTCCACTGCTTGTAATACAGCTCCCACACATTTAGATGAGAACTCCTCAGTACATTTTCTCATTGTCATTTCCAGGTCGGCTGGCATCCTGAAGAGTGAGTCTGCATCAATGTTTTCTTTACGGGGACGGTAGCGGATGGTAAAGGTGAAATCGGCAAGCTCTGATACCCATCTATACCCGGGGGCATTCAACTTTGTAGAGGTCAGGACATAGGTCATGGGTTATTGTCGCTGAACACCATAAAGGTTGGTGCGTAAAACAGATAGTCTCTGAATTTTTCCATTACAGCCCATTTCAGAGCTAAAAATTCCAGTGTGCAGGTTGTAATCTTTCTCTACGCTGTCAAAGTTCAGGATTATTTTAATATGGAATTAAAGGATTAGTTCACTTTTAAAAAAACTTTTGCTGATAATTTACTCACCCCCATGTCATCCAAGATGTCCATGTCTTTCTTTCTTCAGTCGAAAAGAAATTAATGTTTTTGATGAAAACATTCCAGGATTTTTCTCCATATAATGGACTTTGCTGGGCACCAAACGGTTCAAGGTCTAAATGACCGTTTCAGTGCAGCTTCAAAGGGCTTTAAACGATACCAGACGATGAATAAGGGTCTTATCTAGCGAAACGATCGGTCATTTAAAAAATAAATAAAAAAGTTAAATTTTTATAGGCACAAATGCTCGCCTTGCGAACTCTCCTGTTCGAACTCGTTCATCAAAATGAACGAATCTTTTTTCGACTCAATGACTCGAAAAAAGATTCGTTCATTTTGATGAACGAGTTCGAACAGGAGAGTTCGCAAGGCGAGCAAGGCTTAAGGATGCATGGCTCGACTTTTTTTTCTGTTTCATTTTTTATCATTTCTAGACTTCTACAATAATCTGGAAAATGTCTTCTTTAAAACAAGACCAGCCATAGGTCTATATTCCAAAGCATTCCTGAATTACAACCATTTAAGTTTTGATAGTGATTTTTATGTCTATGCAAAAAAAAGGGGGGTGACAAAACTAGATCTGATCGGTGGCAAACCCCTGAGACCCACACATTAAGACAAGCGTGTAGGAAAGCAGAGCGGAAATGGAAAAAGGACAGACTTCAAACGTCATCTAAGTCGCTCAAGGATTGCCTAGTGGCCTACCAGTCAGCTGCAAAGGCCGCAAAAGCTGCTTATTTTTCTAACATAATTTCTAATAACCATCACAGACCTAAGATCTTGTTCTCTGTTATACATGCTGCCTTAAATCCACCTGTCAACACTTTCCCAAACCCTTCTAATGTACTATGTGAGGGCTTTTTGAGTTTCTTTATTGATAAAATAGCTAATTTAAGGCCTCAGGCAATAGTATCATATAATGATCAGGATGCTTTGACTATGCCGCTAACCTCATGGGAGGTTTTTGAACCCATTACTTTACAATCCCTTGCTTAAACTATTGCCACTCTCAAACCCTCTTTCTGCCCTTCTGATGATGTACATCCTCGGTTTTTAAAAATGTTAACAGAGTCTATTGACCCTGGCCTGTTATCCTTTGTGAACAAATGTTTATTAACCGGTTCGGTCCCTTCATGCCTTTGTCACTTTCTGTCTGATTGGCTTTGTCACTCCAGTACTCAAGAAGCCTTCCTTATGCTACGTTCACACCGGACGCGAATAGCGCGTCAAATTCGCGTCTACCGCGTCTAGTTTGACGCTTGACCACTTTGTGTTAATTCGCGTGTCAATGGCGAAATTGACGCGCGTAAAAACAAAAGTTTGAAGCGAAATTTACGCGCGTCAGAGGCGAAAGTTTCGAAACCCGTCGGCGGCCATCTTTTTAGATGTTTATCGAGCATTAGCATTAGCATTATTCGAGAGAGTCACCGCTCGTATATGCTCTGGAGAGCAGAAACAGCTGCGTAGGGGACATCGTCGCTGTACTCGGGTCCACCAGACCCTCCGGAGGGTTTCAGGAGTTTCACCATTTGTTCCAGGAGCTAGGTTTGGTGGACCTAACGGTGAGGACGCTGACGAGGACACCGTAGGCCGTGTAAAGCCTCGGCCTCGAGTGGTCGCTGACTGACGAGCCCGCGCTCTACAGCCCGGCGCGAGGTTCACCCTCGCCCGCACATTTATTTGATAATAAATGGAGCCAGCCTCCAAAAGTGAAACCTGTCCTGTGATTTTTTTATTTATTATACACTATGTGTTTGTTGTTTTTACATTAAAATAATAATGTTTCATATAATCTAAAATAGATATGGAATAAATAGCATTCAATACAAAATGAGTACTATCTCTCATATATTAAAATCGAGTTTTTATGTGAAAGATTTGCTTTGTTGTGCATTAGAACCACACCAGACATTTTAGTAATATTACAAAATAATTTATTAAAATAACAAACTTTCACTTCACCACGTGACAGCAGCAAGCAGGCTCCTGATTGGTTAACGCGGCGCGAATTGACGCAGAAGTTCAGATTTTTCAACTCGGGCGGCAGACGCGAATTCGCGTCAAACGCGTGAATGCACAAATAGCACTAACTAAATCATTCGCGCGTAACGCGCTTCCGCGCCAGACGCTTCAATTCGCGCCATTCGCGCGAATGAGGCGTATTCGCGTCTACCGCGCCGCGCTCTACACCTCATTCGCGCCGCAGGAATTTTTTACGCGCGTAACGCGTCTTTGCATTGACTTAACATTGAAATCACTCGCGCCTGACGCGCTATTCGCGTCCGGTGTGAACGTAGCATTAGACATTTCTGTTTTAAATAATTATCGACCCATCTCTGTGATTCCATTTATTTCAAAGGTTCTCGAAAAGACTGTGTTATGCCAACTTCAGTCATTTCTAAATACGGCAAAAATGTTAGAAATTTGTCAGTCTGGCTTTAAGTCTTTTCACAGCACAGAATCTGCTTTGCTGAGATGACATTTTAGTTGCTACTGATGCTGGAGATCCTGTGGTTTTGATTATCTTAGACTTAACTGCAGCTTGATACTGTCAATCATTCGTTGCTCTTATCTAG